AGAAAATAATAATCACTTTTACTTAGAGCTGACAAATACCAGACATTAGCATAAGCTCATAATAGTACCGTACCATAATAAAAATACCGTAGTACCTTTACATGCAAGTTTGAAGTCAATCTTTATTTATTTCATTAATTCTGCTTCAATATCATGGTGAAGTGGGAGGAGTCGTGTGAAGTAAGGCATCAGTAACACCATGAGTGGACCTTATTGAAAAGGTAAGTCATGTGCAATCATTATTATTAATAGTCGCATTACTGTCATCATAAATTCACATTACTGAATTTTCAGCTGCTGGATGCAAAGATGGCCCACTTCTTAAATAAGAATTACTCTTGCAACATTAGTATGTGTCCCAATGTTTTAAAGTTATATAATAAGTTATTTTTTCAATTAAAAAAATTAAACCATAATAATTTGGTGCAAGAAGTTGCCGTAATATTGGATTGTAGCCATATAAAAAGTATATAGACCAGAAAATGTATTATCAGTTGAAAAATAACCGGATTCTCTCTTAATTACGTGCGCTCTTCACTGTTTATATATTTCCCAAGCGTCACCAAGCGTTTTTTTAACCTTATACAATTGCCCACTACTTGCTGCGCAAGGCAATTCTTCCCACCAATCCAACTCCTGCCGTAGACTACAAACCAATGGGGGGCGTCATGGTGACCACATTCAGTTTCTACATAGCCTCGGTATGTACTCATACTCGCCCCATCTGTTAACTTGGAGTGGCTTTTTATGCTAATTTAAAAGAGCAGAGTTCAAACAGGGCCTTGGAGACTGTGCTTTAATATTGTCTGTCTAACAATTCAATACACTCCCATTTTGCAGTTTGATGCTTGAGCCACAGTTTTTGAGCGAATTTTGTTGCCCTGACCGTCAATTAACACCCAACCTTATAGACACACATCAAACACTGCCATCTAGTACTTTCAGTAATTAGCATGACAGTTAATCACTATCCATGAAAACTTCTGGGTTTTGAAAACATAAAACTGTTTTGATTGTACTTCACTATTCGAGTGTGACTTGGTTTGGTGCAGTTTGTTTCTATGTGATTATTTTTTTCTTTCCCAAGGCCAAATGATCATTTCACTTTAATGAGCTCACCATTCTACAAAGCCAAACGTTGAACGCACAACAGGTGTGTAATGCCAAGACTGACAGTTTCAACCAAGGCTATGAAATACACAGGCATTGCTGCTAATTACTTTGTAACAACTCTAAAAACGCTAGAGTTAAGTTATTATATTATAATTCATTAAAAGCATGAATTTCATGTTTGTACTTTTTTTTTTTTTTTTTTTACTTTTTGGGGATTTCTTTTTAAATTAAAAAAAAATAGGTCTGCAATAGTCACAAAACATGACTTAAGATTTATCTAATTAATTTTTTTTATAGACTTTAAAGGAGAAATTTCTACTTCAGTAATACCATTTTATGTTGCATGTGTACAGATTATAAAGCCCTTCGAGGCATAGTTTTTTGAAAAAATTGAATTAGATGCACGTAACCTTCCGAAATTCTCCCACACTACTCCACTCCTCCGCTCTCTTCACTGGCTACCAGTGGCTTCCCCGCATCCAATTCAAAACATTGGTACTGACGTACCATGCTGTGAATGGATCGGGTCCAGTCTACATCCAGGACATGGCCAAACCCTACATCCCAACCCGTTCACTCCGATCTGCATCTGCCAATCTGCTGGTTCCTACCTCACTGAGAGCAAAACACTCGACTAGATCACGACTCTTTGCTGTTCTTGCTCCGAAATGGTGGAACAAGCTCTCTGAAGACATCAGGACTGCAGAGAGCCTTCACATCTTCCACCGCAAACTAAAGACACACCTCTTCAGACTCTACCTCGACTAAAAGACTAACAAATTGTAGAAATTGCACTTTCTTCTTTCTTTATCTTTTATTTTATGTTCTTTAATGTATATTCTGAAGGTTTTAACAGAGGGTTAGTTCATTTGAACATTGTATGATATTAAAATCAATGAATTTTGCATAACAGAAAAATTATTATTAAAAATGATTTTGAAGAAAGAAAGAAGTCAACTAGGGAAGTTTCATAGCGCTATCTAGTGACATCTCTCACTCTTTTCCTCCCGGGGCTTCTCCCCTTAAGTTTGACTGTTACAATTATGTACTTGTGGGCCACCCAGAAGCATGACTCAAGTGTCAACACTTGACGCCGTGATTACCATTTGACAAAAACATTGTTAATCACAGCTCTGAAGTTAAGTGAAGAGCCGGCGCTGAAACATTAAAACATAAATGAAGCCTTTGGCCCCCTTCAGCAGAGGTAGATAATGGGATTCAACATCAATAAACACTTTAGAGATTTTTTCACATCAAGTGCCAGCATTCTGTTAAAAAAAGTTTTATTTGACAGTAATATTTTCACCTGTATTCATTCAAGAGATTTCTGTCCAACAGTGCTCCTATTTATTTTGATGTGACTTTTATTTTTTGTTGATGTTGTTGATTTCCTTTTTATTTATTTATTTTTCTTTGAGTGAACTCATTTGATATCTGGTCTTGCAACCTTGTTTCATAAAACATCTTCCAGCAAAGGTTGTCCTGTCTTCTATGTTCTGAATAATGCATAAGTTGCAATTCAATACAATTGGATTGGGGAGAGAGGGACTGAAACGTTGAATTACAAAACCATCACATTCTTTCATCTTTTCAGTTTTTTTTTTTTTTGAAGTGCATAGGTCAATTATGAGTCCTCTGGCAATAGCAGGTATGAATAAAACACTGAAGGGGACCGGAACCTTGGGAGAGCTCCTCCACTTGTGCAGATTATTGACACTTTTACTTTTTTCTTCCCATCCTCAGGTAAGAAAATGGACCCTTTGACTGTGGTCTCCTGTACCATTCATTTCTCCATAGCCTCAAGGCAAATGAGGCCTAATTTGCACAAGTCTGTTTTGGGGCCAATTATTATAATACCAAATGTACTGGAAACATAATACAAAAAACAAAACAATAAAGAGAGGTCTCACCAGAATGATGCATTTAAATAATTCTCATTTTTCATTTCATATTATATGTTCAACAATTTGCAGAATATCCTTCAGCACTGCCACGTTACTGCAGAACATGGACGTCGTGAAAACGGCTGCTGGGAATTGGCCATCACTACTTCTTTTTCACTTTCACTCAGAAAATCCACCAGTGGAAAGTCATTCAATGTTGCAATTAAGGAATGTGGACCTCTATTTTCCTGGTAATGAAATAAACTTAGAGAGCAAGATAGGCACAACATGTGTATATACATGTGTATCACCCCTGCAGACATTGTCTCTATCAGCACTAGATGTCAGTGTTCTCGCTGCTCTGTGGAGCTGCGAGCAATGAGCCAGTCTTGTATTGGCCCCAGAAAGATGCTTCCTATTTTTATTTTATTTTCACTTGAAATCCTCAGCCCTTATGGATTTCATCCTATATCCTCCTGCATCATGGCCTGATTACAAAGGGCATCACTTTTATCTCAGAATGAGTACCAAACTGCTGAGCATTGCGTTCTTCACATCAATCCTCGCTCACAACTTGCAGCCAGTACAGTTGTATCTTTAAGTAAAAAGATACAACTTCATTCAATCTATGTTGAAATCTAATAGTGAAGAATTGTGAATAGATTTGAAGAGGAATCTGCAAAAAGAATAGAGAATACAATAAGTTCAGTCAACCATTTTGAACTACAAATCAAATTTACATATTCCTTTTGGCAACATTAGAGCTTCAGTAAAAACCAAAGCTGGATTACCAGTGTTTCATGGCCCCTAGAGGCTTCAGTTTGCGAACTGCTTTGCTCTTTTTTGATCTTGAGGACAGGAATACATTTGTTGTGTGTAAAACAATGTTTTTCCAACTTATTTATTCATAAAAAAGATGTGTGTCATATGGAAACAAGGTATAAGCGAGCCCGCGGGATGTACACTTAGTTGGAATTAATTGTATTTTTGTTGTTTTGTTCGTCACATCTGTCAAAACGCTAAAAGAAGATTTGGAAACAACACATTTGATCTGTCTGGATAAAAAGTACCCTGAATGATCAGCTACCGCCTCCCTATTTATCCTTGCAGGGTCTAATACCAGCTGGCATTGGGAAAGAGATGGAGTTGCCAGTCATGCACTGGGCTGATAGAGACACAAAAGTCCCTCTCTCATTTGCACAGCTGCAGGCAAATTAGGAATCACTAATTAAACTACCCTGTAGGTTTTTGGACTGTAGGAGGAAGCTTGAGTACCTGGAGAGAACCCACACAGGAACAGGGAGAACATGCAGACTCCGCACAGAAGGGCCCCAGTATTTTATTACACACACATAAAATTGTTCTGTGCATTTAACCCATCCCACACAGTGGGAGCAGTGGGCTGCCGTATAGGCACCCAGGGAGCAGTTAGGGGTTAGGTGTCTTGCTCAGGGACACTTCGACATGGGACATGGAGCAGCCGGGGTTTGAACCGCCATTCTCAGTCGCCACAAAATATGTATATCTCATATTTACACGTCCCTCTCAGTTGATGACACGCCCCCTATGTCAGATCAGGGCAAAAAGTATGAATGTGAAAAAAATGATCCCAAAATGAAATAAAGATTTGAATCTTGAATATAAAATCTGCAACCGAAAAAGACAATACCGCGAATATCAAAAAATATATGTGAAAAATGAAAAAAAAGATAAAATAATATATATATATATATATATATATATATATATATATATATATATATATATATATATATATATATATTATTATTATTATTATTATTATTATGAACATACGGTTTGGTTCTGTTTCACACATTACTCACCTCTACACACTAATATGTGTGTATTTAAATTACTCGCAGAAAAAGTAAATGTAACTTGGTTGATTTCAGTATTTTAATTGGAATTGGTGGAAGTATGGGTGGAGCTAGTTGAGCGTCAGTCCGGCTAAGGACGCGGGAGGTGTTTCCTTCTTTGATTTGGCGCGGACCAGCCAATCGGCATGCGCGTCAGCAGCGCATCCCGGAAATAAGACGCTCAAATCGAAAAAGAGCGCCTTGAATCCAAGTTGGAGACGTTACCTGAAGGTAAGCCTCTAAGAACTGCTCTTTCACGTAGACTTCTACCTTCACATTAAGTTCATGTTACCGTTACATATTTCTTTCCTCGGAGTAACAAGTTCGAGGTCCTGTGGACTAATGGTGGTACCGGTGTTCGAGAGAAGGGGTCAGGAGCTGTGAATCCTAATGTGGAGCCCCCGCTCTAATATGAAGAAAAACGAAGCCCGCGGTTCAAAGTATTAGTTAGTATATGATCTCTTGGGATTTTTAGAAACTCATGTCAAGACATTTTATTACGGATGTCCTAACGTTAATTATATAAACTTGATAAGCCATTAATATTCTCCCCATTACATTCGATCAGAAGGAAATGTAAGGTTATCTCTAAAACTGTGTGAAAAATATAAATTGATCCTTAACGTTAATTTTACAAATATTACCTTATTTTTTTTTAAAGGAGATTAACCTCAAAACCTTAAAGAATATATGTCGACCTGTAAACTGCTTTGAGAGGTGGGACATGTCTGAATTATGGTGGCAGGGGACATAGGGTTGGTCACAATTTTAGTTGTATCACATATATATTCATTTATTTAACAGAAATGTTAAATGCAGGTGCCTATTGATGCCTAGCTTCTTGTATAAGGCAGCTTAGATCCATTCAGTAGATTCATGTTTCATGTCAAACTATCTTCCTCAGTTGATGGACTGAAATTTCTATTTTTCATAGCATTTTTGGTTTTAACAGCTATTATCAGATATTACGTCTAGTTACCAACTATTTAACAGTACCAATTCTAACAAGATGTTTCTTGCAGTGAACTCATGTTTGCAAATGCTATTGTAGTTGTGTATCTAACAAACGGAAACCCCTGCGTGTTGACATAAAATCTGTCCACTATAAACTGTGTTATTGGCTGGTACTGTGGTTCAGCTGATCAGTCAGTCCCCATGTGAGTGTCTCCCTGTGGGAAAGCTGTAGCCTGTTAGCATTGATCAGCCCCTCTTGTTTACAGCGCAGGGTTCGTCTGAGCCACTCTGAGGGTTAATTGCTGTTGAAGCTCTGCTTTCTGTCCACTCCTCGCTCTACTAATACAAAGAAGATGACACTAATGAGGGAGTGCAAGGGAACAAGGGGGGGGGGGGCACTGCTTCTCTGGCTGCAGGTCAGCTAACCAGGGTTTGATCATTCCCACAGCTGGTTAAGGGACAAAGCACTGTTTGAGAGTATTTATTTTGCACATAATTGAGACCAGATGACTAACATGTTACATATGCATGATAGTTACCAGATATTTAAATTGCTATCCAAGTGTACAAATATTTGGATGTATTTAATAAATAACATAATGAGTCAATGATAAAATACGTCATTTACAATGCCGTAGTGAGTTGTCATTTGCGACTGCTTTCTTTACACACAGGACTCAGTTTTGTGTTACTTCTCTATTCCTGCTTTTAGACATCAGACATACTGATGACCTCTGTAAGCTGTATTAGATACTGTTAATTCCAAATAAGCAGTATACTAGCTTATTCACTTATTGTCCTGACATTTAACACTGTAACCTCTTTAAATTAAATGTCAAAACAAAGATATATGCTACTAATTTTCATTACAACTTAACAGTAAATATGACACACCGTTGGTAAACTTTGGGCTAGGCAAGTCTATTCATTCATTCATTCATTTTTGGTTTTATGTTCAGTTTATTGGTCCAATGGCTTTCTGTAAACCTGGACCGGCCTAAATGCTTGTGTCTCTGCAGTGTACCCCTGCCTGCTGTGGTCATGAGTTTCTCTCCCGGCCCATCCGGTCCCCTCGGGGGGACCAATATCCAGGAGCAGAGGGACCGCTGGGAGAGAAAACGCAGTCGGACAGCCAGAGAGTTGGTGCAGACTGAACAACGCTATTGCCAGCAGCTGGAGCTTGTCACCACCGTACGTACCGTACCTGTCTCCATCACTATGAAGGCTTCAAGATTAAACCTTGAAATAGACACTAAAAGTCCCCCCCGCTGTCACCCCCTCACCTGTTCTAGTGTAAACATCACCTTGATTTAAGATTCTTCATGGTATTGTAAATAGTAAATTGTGCAGAGGGCCCACATGGCCAAGTTTGGGGCTGTGCAAAGGCTAACATAGCCAGTGAACATGACTCACTAGAAAACTCACTAGTTTTTCTAGTGATCTTTTTATTGTGATCTATTCGACACGACAGACATGACTATTATAAGATGTTTCCACTGTTGATATAAATTCCATCCACCTTCAATGTATTGAGATGGATCGTACTACCAGGAAACTAACCTAGAACGATGTGATTTATAAAGGGAATTTCTTAAATTGTGTGTATTAACCCAAATATTATTTTCATAGTAAAATAACAATGCAGTGGAAAGACAATACTGCACTGTATTTTAAAAGATCTATATTAACATATTCAAAGTAGTATTCATGGTGCTCCTCCTCCAGGCGGAGAGAACAGACTTTTTCAACTACTACTGCAGCCTCAGTTCTACACAATTACTCACCCTCCAATTAAAAGTAATTTTAGACCTAATGCACATTACATTTGCTTATCCCATTTTCACTTCAAGTGACGTGAGACAGCCACACTGTTGCTGTGTTGGGAGTGTCGCAGTGCAACCATGTTGCTCTACTCTCCTACGATGAGCCATGGGGACATACAGTTCCATGTAACTTTGACAGTTTGTCTAGACTGCTAAACTCTAAGCTGCTCTTTCTCATCAGTGAAACCATCTCCTTTAACATAGTTACACCTGCTGAGGAATAACCGTGTTGTCTCTCCCTTTGCTCTGTTGTTTGTTACAGTACTTTGTGGAGATCCTAAAGGCCAAAGGAACCCTGAAGCAGGACATTAGAGAAAGCATCTTCAGCTCAATTAAAGCCATTCATTCAGTAAACCAGTAAGTATCTTCTGAATAATTCACACAATATATACAGGGTATTGGAGGTTTGCCCCTTGCTTAAGAATGAGGTCCAGATAAACTATTATAGCATCGTCCTTATCTTCACCACTAGCAGTAGTCAACAATATCGTGTTGGAGGTGTACCCTGCCCTGGTGGATACAATAACGCACATCAGCTTTAATTACTACTTGATAGCAAAACTGGTGTTTTGCTTGGAGTCATATCCGTTCAGAAAAGGTCTCTGGAGTATTTAACAAACTCCAGGAGCTGTTTTCACCACCACCAATTATTCACCACCAAATAAACTACACACTGCATTGCGATGTTTACAGCTCCACATAAGCAGAATGACAATACTGCTAACTTCAAACTCTCTTTCACCAATGAATGACGTAAGAAACAACGATCGTATTGTTCAAATATATTTAAAAAAAGTCAATTTAACGGCTAAAGTTTGTAATTAGTGACTGACTTTTTGCGATCTTTATTTACTCATGGTCTCCATCTTCTTTACTCATCTAATCTCTTCCCTCAGTCTATCTCTGTTTTAGGTGTCCATCCCGTGTTACAGTTATATCCGCCCGCAAGTAAAATCATGTCTATCAGACGCCACTGCAAAAAGCTACTGGCGACAAAAATAGCGACTTCTCTGGTGGAGAAGGAGGCGGGGCTGCCCAGCTAGCGCTTGTAGCGAGGGATCGCAGGGCAGACATGAAGGGTCATGTCTGTGATTGCTCTAGCCCAGCGGTTCCCAAACCTTTTAGCCCACGCACCTCCTTCTACATCCCGAGACCTCGTTCATGCACCCCCAACCCTCCCAATTAAAAAAAACAAGAAACCGCCTATTTATAGTTGCAATGAAACAACAGTTTGCCCATTCATCTAATATTTAGACTGCTGTTGAATCAACAAAAAAAGAACAAAAGGGTAACCAACATTGTATCCTATTAATCCCGAATCAAAACAAACTGCAGGTGTGAAAATGCCCTGAAACACTGCAACAAAGTTTCAATAAATTCCAGTTACTTTTAAACATCAATAAGGATGCCGAGGACACATGCACAGGCTCAGAGGCAGATTGCTTCACATTTAATTTACAATTACATTAATTAAAATTAAAAATTTAAAGTTTAGGGCTGCAACAACGAATCACTGAAATCGATAATTATTGATTACTGTGATACCTTATATAGACAGGTGTGTGCCTTTCTCAATCATGTGGACTCCAATCAAGTTGTAGAAACAACTGCACCTGAGCTAAATTTTGAGTGCCATGGAGCCACAAAGGCTGTGAATACTTATGTACATGTTATGTTTTTGTTCTTTATTTTTAACAGATTTGCAAAAACTTGCAAAAAACAGTTTTCACTTTGTCATTATGGGTTGTTGTGTGTAGAATGTTGAGGAAAATAATGAATTTAATCCATTTTGGAATAAGGCTGTAACATAACAATGTAAAAAAAGCGAAGCGCTGTGAAAACTTTCCGGATGCACTGTACGGTAGTCTAGTACTCTTGCGCACATACTGTGGGTTATACAGTAGTTGTAGTTATGCTTGTAAAGGGCGACACGGTGATTCATTAAACCAGTGCGGCTCGCTAAGAAGCCTCCAATGCATTAATTTACAATTTGAATTAATCTCATAACACTTGGTTATTTATTTTTAGCTGTACTTAGATGAGGTGTATACATTTACTTAACTTGCACTACAATGATGGTAATAATGTAATGAATAAGCATCAAGTGAATATGGGTGTGTGTTGCTGAGTGTGAGAGTTTGTGAGGGTGTGCATCTGAAATTTTCTGATTTTGTATGTTTATTTTTTATAAATTATTATTCTGTTCAAGGAGCAACCTGTTTGTGGACTTTCTGAAGTATTTTTGCAATCTGAATTTGCGGTTCTGTTTTAGAATAAAGGGTGGGAAATTAAAGCTTTTTTTAATGCTGTTTCATCAAAGAAATAACCGATTAATTGATTATCAAAATAATCGTTAGGTGCAGCCCTAGTAAAGTTACATATCACGACTGATTGTCAGAGGTAGGGGAGTTGGAAATTTCCAACAGTTAAGAACACATTTTGGCACATTTATGGTCTCAGAAACAGGTATGAATAAACAAGGGAGGAGTCCATTTGAGGATTTCACTTGCAGCGCAGTGGACTGCAGCGAGACCAGAGGGAGGGGTAACATTACCGAGTAAGCGTCTCCGTTTCTTGTGCCTCCTGATACACCTCTCTCAGTCCGTCTCTTCTCATAACTGACAGTTTCAGATGTTCAAGTGACAGTTTTCTGACTTCAGCCAGTGTAGCATATTTGTATAAATTTTGCTGAAGGAATGACGTTAGTTGTGGGCTGAAGTTAGCGGCAAAAAACAAGGCTACCCTCAGGGGTGCCCGCGCCACGCTTTGGGAATCCCCGCTCTAGCCTATCCAACACTTACGCGACACACGCTTGCAAACGCAGCCGCTTTGGAGCGTGAGACAACTGCAAAACCAAAATCCTCTAAAGGTGGGATTGAAAAGCTCAGGGAGAAAAAGAAATGTCTGGAGGAAGATGCCACAAAATATAAAAAAATATTTGGCAAACCAACAACTTTATTTTTTGTTATGCACCTTCATCACCCCTACACACACACACACACACACACACACACACAGCATGCAACACCACTGAAGTTCCCACCCTATGTTCTGTTCGGTTCATTTCTACACTATAATTCATACTAATTCTACCTTCTCATTCCAGTATCTTTATTGTGTGGTCCTTCTCTGCTGACATTCATTCCTTAAGGCTCTGTAGTTATACGTATAACCATCTGACACTAGCCCAGAGTTAACCATATTCATCTAGCAAACTACACCTATTTTGGAGTGTTAAAAAATAACCAGTATCATTTTATTCACTGTCCTTTGAGGCGAATTGGTGGATCCAAATGTTATAAAAACAAAACAAAAACTAAACGTGATGTGATTTCTTTTGTAATCATCCAAAACAATGTAAGGTGTGTGTGGGTATCTTTCAAAGTATGCCACCGACACGTGCGTTTCATTGAGTCGGCAGCTTGCCGTGCATTGATTGGGCCAGATAGTAACTACCGGGCCACTTTTTCCACCCCAGTAACCGCCCCTGTTTAGCATATTGATATTCCTATGCTGAACCCCCAACCGCCCAATAAAAAAGCCTTTTCGCAAATGGTTTAGTCTATGACGTAGCTACCCCGGAATGCGCAACTCCTGAATTAATGTGGATTAAAGGGAAACGCACAGACTGCTAATGTCATCTTTGTCCTTCTGCTGATGGCCAGATAAGTTAATTGCTGTGGGGGGGAAAAAAAGTATAAAAATGTAATCCATAATTTCATATTAATCATTATAGCCTCTGGTAATGACGAAGGGAAGGGGGAGCTGGGAAAAACCCAAACGGAAACAGTTTTTCCCGCCCTTTGCCCTCGTTAAAAGTCTCTCGGCTGCTCCTGCATCTCCTGATTATGGACAGAGGCTACCTTGGCTCAAAACTTCATTAAAATCTATTTAAATCAACTTCAGTGGCGAAATGCTCCTTCTTACAGCAACGAACAGAAATCTCTGGGAGCATCATTAGTGTCTGATTTGCTATGTGTGTGTGTGGTACTTTCTAAGTTTGGATAACAAGCTCCTTCACAAGTGTCAACACCCCCAATCACTTGAGTCCGTGTTACTGTAATGTGCCTGACAGGCCGAACGATTGCTTTGCCCCCGCCTTCATCAGCCTGTTAGGCTCCCTGAGTTGGGTTGCCATGTTCACACTACAAAGCAGCCCCGGTCGCCCTAAAGGTAGAACCACCCTCTTAGTCCCGGTAAATGTGTCACCCACCGGGAGAGGCCTTCAGATCACGCCACAGACCCCCCACCCTCCCGTTCCATTCACGGAAAAGCAATGGTTTGAGCTTTGCTCAGCTTCCGCTCTTCCCTCGCAGTGCTTGTTTTTGCAGAGGAAGGAAGCCCAACATGCCATGGCGCCTTATCTCTGCTGCTTTCATCCACTGATGCAGAGCACACTGATTGTCAGGCAGTAATGTGCGCTAACTCAAAGGCCAATGCGGTAGGGGAGGGAGGGGGTCTTCTCTGAAATGAATGCCTCCGATCTGTCATGCACAACAAATGGCAGACATATTGAAGTAGTGACTTTTGCGATTACCTGTGTTGAGTTCAGGATGTTGTGGATCGGTAGTGAGTGCCTTCTTGTTCGCATGCTTTTAAAGGGTCAGCGCATCATACAAATGTGCAGAATATTTGAGAAGTCATTTATTTGACAAGATCGTGAGATCCTTTTTAACTTCTCGTATGTGTAGATCTGTTTGTCTGTGTTTAATGTCATAGTATGTTTTAATATCTTTGGGCTTTGTACTGACAAAACAAGACAACAATCCCCTGTATCCCACTAGTGTTTTATTTTTCAATCATTTTGTCTTTGTTAATGTAAATGGCATACATTGTGACAGCCATTACAGCACAACATCCTGCATTATGTTGCTTCAGGCTGCAGAACCCTACCTTCTACTTCCATTGTCCAATAGACTGAGTGATTTTACCATGTTGCCCTATTGACATGCTAAACAGGCTATTGGTTTCCTGAACAAATATCATCAAAACAATGTTGTTGCTAAACATAGACACATCTCAGACTTCACATTTTTAAATTTAAAATGAATTAAATGTATAGTAAACATGTATTTCTATCGTCATAACAAAACCGGGTTACAGTTTAGGAAATCTTTATTAATGATCAGAATGGATTTTGAAAGATTTAGCGCCTTCAAAGTGGAAAATTTATATTGATATATAATTTCTTTTATGCACATTTTCAACCTCCTAAAGACATCAGTGCAACTTTTAAAAGTCTGCAGCTTAAGTTATCACCTGAGATATGCTATGATGGATATGTTTTATAGAGCAAAGAATCATCTATTTGACTGGATCGACAGATTCATTTATGATTGAAATTAGGTGCTGCCTACATGCTGAGTCTAGGGTGCCTGTGTCCCGATCCGCTCGCTTTGATTCCAAATCTTTCTGTTATGAAATGTGTCTAACCTGTTGTTTTTGCAGATCTTTGCTGGTCCATCTGGAGAATGGCTACTTCGGCCGAGGCTTTGACCAGATGTGTCCACATCTGCAACACTACAACACGTATGTGGACAACATCTACAATGGCAGCAGAGTGCTCGGGGTAGGCACACAGTATTTCCACGTGGCTATTACACCTCTGCATCAACAAAGGGAGTCCTATACTGGGCCTATTTCTTGGTGCCCAGTGACTCAATACAGCAACTACACTTTGGATACAATGTGGGTGTCATCACCATAGTAGGAGAAACTCAGAGGCTGGTGGTTTTCCTGTCTGCCAAGAAATGGTTAACCTCTCGGTTTCTAATAGTGTGCTTTAGGTATCAATAGGTGTCTGTTGAACAAAAGCCTTGCTGCATCCAGTCTTTATGCTCCATAGCACTATACATACAGGCATGAGAGTGACATCAATATTTAGTTACCAGCCTCACAAATTGCCTGAAGCCCATCCTAATGCACTGAACTCGTCTGATCAGTGACAGGAATCAAGGTGGAGCTGTACAGAGGCTTCTTTGTTTATTGGAGAGGCCTGCAGCACTGTCCTGGTGCTAGCTTTGAGTCACAGCAGGAAAGATAATATTGTCTTAATTAAGAGCAGGACACGCCTGCAAAGCATTGACAAATTGCATTGATTATGGATCAAACCCTACACGTTCACTTTTATCCTCCTGCAGATTGGCATCCATTATAATTTAGTAAACAGGTGTGCTGGTTTGCTGAGGTGACCAGTAATGGGAGTATCTTTTGACCCACATTAGCCTGATAATGTTTCCAGATCAGATAAAATAAGATGTAGTTTTTTGAAAATATAGAAGCAATATTGGTGACCATTAAGCAATATCATCTGCAAATATAGGGCTGAATAATAATTCACTATCCTTTGATATTCACTGAAATTCTATTGCGCTGATATATTTGTACACACTTTGAAAACTAACAAGACTCTTTTTTTGTTTTACATCCATGAAGAAATTAGTCTCATGTAGTGTAACAGTTTATTGCATTGAAAACAAAATGATTGTACAGAGCACAACTTGGTGAAATAGGACCTCTGATCGAAGATAAGATAATCCTTTATCACACATACTCCAAGAAAACAAGATCAGAAACCATAAACAAGTAGTAGTGAATAAATAACAATCCACAATAACTGAATTGAAAAGTCTATGCAGACAGATATTCTATATACATACAGAAGTGTTTTATATTGGACAGGTTTAAGTGATTTATGTGGTCTACTCGGAGGAAAGCTGGTTGTGCACACAATGATGTTTTTAAATCCCTACAAAAGCCCAAACGCTGACATGATGTTTAAATATTTTGGTAAATCCAGCATGGGGAATGACAACAGCATGATTTTGGGGGGGGCTTCTAGAAAGTCACCGGAGATGCAGTGGTCGTTGCTTGGGACATTACCATCTCGAGTGGACAAGCAGCATGCAGATGCTGGTATTAAAAGCACATATCGATCGATAACAGTTAATCCAGCTTCTGAGCTGAAGACACACTCCAGGAAAATGTTCCCCTTGCCAAACACAAACCTGCGGCTTGTGAATGTGTGCTTGGCTTTGAGAATAACTCAACATAGGTTTTATGTTTTATCTTAGATCCAAATGAAGAAAAACAAGCCCTTCAGACGGTTTAAGAAACTCCAGGAAGCCCGGCCAGAATTCAACAATCATAAGCTTGAGGATTTACTCCAACTTCCCATCCAGCGGATCCATCAGTAAGATTCCTGTTTTCTGTTTGAATGAAAAGGCCAGATAATACATCTTTTTCCACGTGACTTACACATTTCATGTAGTCTGTTAGAGCTTTCATGGACAGAGGGCCCCCCTGATATAATTGTAAGGGAAATACTGGAACCTTTGCTTATGGAATATGAAATGTAGTATTCCAGTGTTTGTGTGTGTGTGTGTGTGTGTGTGTATATATATATATATATATATATATATATATACACATTAATAATTATATAAAAAAATATTATAATCCCAAATAATTTGGATGCGCCCAATATAATTCATCATGTCAGGTAATGAAGGCACAAGAACCGATACTGTGGCATCAAGTCAATTTCGATGGCTAGTGGTGGTGACGAGCGGAGCATCTCAACGCTGATTGGCTTTTGCAAGACCGCGTCGGGCGAATTTTTCACCCAAAGTTGAAATATTTGGCAAAAGGTGATTTATTTGCTTCGCACCTTTTGCTTTTTCGTGTCCCACGCCAACGAGCTGTCAAACGGGATAATGAGTAGCATCCTGTACCGCTGGAAGCGGCAGTCACTCAGACCCAGTTTCTGTAGAAGAATTCAATGAGCTGTCTGTGGCTAAGGATGCTATTTAGTACAAAAACACGACTCCATTTGAAGGTCCGACGTGAGTAGGATTTCCACAAGTACAAGACAGTCGATATATGTCTTCTACGATTGATGCGGAGGAAAAGCGGAGAGTTGATCTAGGTGATAAACCACGCTCCCTCTCCGTCGCGTCTTGTGCGAACACTATACACACACGAATTAACCACAAATGATCCACAAGAGAGAGCGAATTATTCGCGCGTGTAGATTCCATGCAAAGTCAATTCACAGACACAAATTTTCAATGGGCGCGAAAGGAGCAAAGTGACTAAATCGCTTTTTCGCCAAAGTTGAAATATTTCAACCTTACGGGATTCCACTTGAAATCCCGGGGGGACAACCATGCCTTCTGGCCCGGCCAATAGAGCACAGGGGCTCTATGATGGTCAGCAATGCGCTTTTTCCGGGCTGGAGCGCCGACATGACCTCCCTCCATACATTGTCGACACCTACGAAGGTTGGACTGGACAGATGGCACTGCTACCCCAAGGAGGCCATGAAAGGGGACATGCCAGTGGCGGTACGTGTGAGGGTGTGGTGCGCATACTCAATCCACGGCAGGTGCATGGACCAGGAAGACTGGTGGTGAGCAGTGACACTACGCAGCGCCGACTCCAGATCGTGGTTGGTCCATTCCGTCTGGCCATGGTAAACAGAGAGATTAGCCGTGGTCCCCAGCGTCCTCTGTCGGACACTATATCCATGTTCACAAGGGCCTGGAACACTGCCAGGGCATTGGTCAGGCTTAAAGGCATGGGCCGATACTCAAAATGGCCTAGCAGGGTGTTTTCCATTCTCCTTCCCGTACCCGTTGCGGAGGTCCAATTTCGACGGGTGCTGTCCTTGTCCACAAAGAAGAAACCGGCCCCCACCGGAGATGAGGGTTGGATTAACCCAGCTGCCAGGGAGTTGTGGATGTATTTCTCCATGGCCTCTCGTTCAAAGTGGAAGATCTGGAGGGTAGAGGGGCGCTAGGAAGCAGGTTGATGACAGTCATAGGGCCTATGTGGGGGAAGGGTTAGAGATCGCTGCTTGCTAAATACCAAGCCAAATAACTTCAAATAGCCCACGAGTGAGCTCACGTGACTAAAGCGCGTCTCGTTATAACATGCATATTACTGGTTAACAGTTTCCCTTAATGACTGACCTGAAACCAGTGTTCACAGGCACCACAGTGACTTCAGTCCGAGAGGAGACCATCGAAACCACAACGTCACTGCGATAGAGAACACAGAAAGATGGGGGTCTGAGTCTCCTGCTGGCTCTCAGTACCAGGAACGCGGGGACTGTGTGACTAACGTTCTGTTACTAACGCCGGTGAACTTGTGATAGTCAGCAAGACACCGGCAACAACGTGCACAAAACACATTAACACACTATAGCAAGTGTTAATTTTGGCAGCTATTTTTGATTTAGTCTAATCTAATTAGACTAAAATGTAATTAGTTTTAGTCACATTTAATAGCCATGTTAAACTCCTTTTCTTCCCTTCTCAGGCCCAGGGACCCCCTGTGTTGTGTCTACAACTGCATAATAGTCTAGCTTGCAGTACTTGGTTGTCCATCAGATGTCCCTCCTAGGACAGGTCTATAGCAGGGGTCGGTAAACTTTTTGACTCGCGGGCCACAATGGGTTGTAAAATGTGACTGAGGAGCCGGGCCAAGAACAAATGGTTGAGGTGTTTGTGTGAGCTAATATAAATGACATGTGAAAAATCATTACATGAAAGGATTTGGATTTTAACAAATAGCAAAGCATTTATTTGCAAGGCAATTTAACAAATTGGCAAAGGTGTAACAACTTCATGAGGACCAGGGATCTAAACGCAACACTTGTCTTTGTCTGTTCACTTGCAATGCTTTTGACACTGCCACCTGTCACGTGTGTGTGTGCGCCTCTATGTTGCTTGGTCGAGGCGGTTTAACACCGTCTTCTCACGATGTGGCGTGTGAACTATAGTTGAAATGCGTGAGGCTTCAGAACCTGCAATGAGTTTATTATGTTGGACGTGTTTGGAGAAGCCTGTAACGGAGCGTCTCACCCAGCTGAGGAAACGCTGCCTGCCGTCGCCAGAGAACAGAGCAGAAAGGTCCGTGTGGATCTCTGCTGGCCGACAGTCTGTTAAACAGGTCTTCATGTTTCTCTGTAGCAGCGCAGCTTCAGCCTGCTAACAGTCAGCTAAACCGAGACAGCTGAGCTAAACTAAGGAAGCCACATTCAAACTCGCCGAAGCGTGAAATTGTCGTCGCGGTCCGTAGCCTGTGCACAAGAACCACCGCTGCGAGCGTTCTGGGTTCGTGGATGACATCATCATGACGCGTTAATATCCGCGCACGGGGCCGTACTTTGCCTGTCTGTTGGCTGTCAGCTGCGTGCAAATTTAGGGGGAAAAAGTATTGTGACTTCGTCAACCACCAACATTCTCGTCTCGTTAACGAAAGTTAGATTAGTTTTAGTCATAGTTTTTATTTTTTAAGATTGTTTTCGTCACGTCTTAGTCTCGTCTTAAGCCTAGTTTATGCTTCTGTGTTTTCAGAGCGACGCAGACGTGTGTCCCCTTGCGTGTCCATTGCGTTGCTTTTCACACCTCCTTGCGTCCTTCGAGCCATTTTTCTAGGCTTGCGTCAAAAGGGACGCGACGAAAGCAACGCAAGCCTCCCGGACAAATGTGTCCGCGATGAAAAGTAGCAGTGGCGATGCACGGGGCAATTAAGTCTATGATAAATGAATAAACAAATAAATAAATAGACGTGACTCTCTAGGTCGTCTTCAACAAAAACACGTTGCTCCGCCTGTTGTTCTGGCGGTGAATTGCTCTGCAACACACGCAAGACTTTTAGAAGCATGAATTGAAACGAGTGCGTCGACGCAACGACGCAAACGCAGAAGCACGCGCCGGCCTTTAGTCATGGAAAAAAGGTTCGTTCGTTAACATTTTTGTCATAGTTTTCGGCGACAAAATTAACACTGTACTATAGCTTAATATAACGTCCGGTCTTAGCACTCTTGGCTAGTTTCTTTCACTGGCTATTCTCCAGAAATGTAACATTAATGTCTACAGTACAGTTAGCTTTACTGACCATTAAAGCCACATGGTCTACCCCGGCTGCTTTTAACAGCTTGTCATATTAAAGTTACGTCACTGTCTCCTGACGCGGACAGTTTTTAGCTAACTATCCGGTAAAACTATTAATAAAAATTATCTAGTAATGTTTTCTGGGGATTTAACGGTGTTAAAGTAGGCGTTAGCGCAAATACTGTTTTAATTATGAAAGTAAACATTTTCGTAACCAAAGTCTGTAAAAGGACGCTAACGCCAGTGAATTGGCCGTGCGCTGCTATAGGCATGTCCCAGACTGACGTCCATCATCATTGTAAAAATTTGTTTTTCGTGGAGGTTAAAGGTTCGCCAAAATTACCATCGATGCTGACAACATATCCGGGAACACAATTCTGGCCTTTCAAAATAAGATATCCCGCTTCAACACCTTCAAATACTACAATAAAAGCGCTTTCATTGCCGCCCCAGCATTGCCCAACAGTCGCCCAACTGAGTCTTACTACTTTCTGTCATCAAAGTAGCCTAAATGGCAGCTGAATGCAGCCCCGTCCAAACCACACACACACACACACACACACACACACACACACACACACACAGAACCAACAAGGTAGTAGAGCCGGCGTCACGGTGGGGCCGTGACAAACAACACCCTTTGCGGTTCCGACGTTTGTGTAGTTCACACCAGTAAAGAGCAGAAATAGTGGTAAAGGAAGGATTTCTATGAAGGATAGCGGAAACTATTATAACTATCTTTACGGAGACAAGTAGGGAGTGGCTAGTCGCCATTATTTCAGGCGCGAATAAAGCGGGACGCAAATGAAGCAAAATGACTGCATCTGGTGCGCGAGTACAGCGTCTCCGCTTTTGGTGTGAACGCAGCATAACGGTTATGCTAAACTCAGCCTTTGTTTCATGTCATGATGGACGTACAACATGTGTGTAAAATACTGCATATGAAATCAATGTAATATATTGTCTCAAACTAACATGAAGATTATTGAGATAAATCAGTTATGAGCATCAAATACATTTGTTATCTTACTCGCCACTCTTTCGGTCATTGGAAATATTTTTGATGAGTGGGAGTCCTTTCCCTTAACAAAATAGCAGAAATCAGAAGATGAGGGTGTTGTACTCTGTTTGTGACACATAATCAGTGGGCCTCATTCTTTACAGCTCAGCTCTCGCTCTCTCCATCTTCTTGATAAAACTTGGGAGACTTAGGGCTGTTTCTTAATAGTATGATGATTTTAAGTAGCGTGTCCAGATAATCTTCCGCTGCTGGTCTATACCTTGCTCCTGC